ACTACCCATGAGGGCCTGCCAAAAACGAATAATGCCGTAGAGGGATGGCATCGAGAGTTTTCGTAAATTATTGACTCGCACTATTCACATGGAATATCATTGTTGACCGGCAAAAAGAACAAAGTCTGGACGAAATTAAGATTGAGCAGTTCATTGCAGGCCCCTCGCAGCCGCCACAATTGAAGAAATACGCTAATTCAACTCAGCATATTGTCAGGGTAGTTGGTTCCTATTCTGGTAGATACTTAAAAGAACCCTAGAGCGCTAATGCCAATATGCAACTTCTCGATTATTTGGGAGGCGTTGCACTCAATTAATTTAATTAATTAGTTAATATCCTCATGCTTTGTATCATACAGAATTTTTGCGTTGCGTACTGTTGAATCTGTTTATTTAATATTGCAGTAAACAAGTCGCAAAATATATGCTTCGTGCAGCTACCAACGGCTCATTCTTGCAGTTTTGGAAACAAGTCAGATTTCAAGTTCCGGGCCATAATTTCGAAATGTTCCATAAAAATTTCTGTTAATGGAGGTAAAATCGTTTGCCTATGGGTGCATCTTTGGCTTGTTTTAAAAACCTGCTGACATTACTGATGTCGACATATTTTATTGTACTCGCTATTCTGAATTCAACGTTGCCTTTAAATGTTTTGACGTTGATGGACTGTATATCTGAAAATATTTTGACTGATTTCATACGATTCCTGCACACGCCTCAGCACCATGGCAGTAAACGTTCTTCAAATTCTGTAAGCAATTCCTGCCATTCTGTAACGTTTTATGCAAATTCATTGCAAATATTTGAGCTAGTTTCTAATCTTTAGTTTTTTAGTATTGACGATTTTTCAGCTTTTAAGACTTTCCGTATGTTTTAGCCGTTGCAATGTTGTCCATTGGTTTTATGGTTGTTCCGTTCGATTTTCCATCGTTGATTGAGTTCATTCGAAACTTGCAATTACCGGTGGCATTCGTCTATGCAGTCAAGTACATCATCGCATGGCCGCTGACGTTTCACACCTTAAATGGAATAAGATTTTTGGTAACCTGAGCTGTTTCATTTTTTGATTTAGACAGCATTATTTAAAAATGTGATTGACTTGTATCTTCATCTCAGATGTCTAGGTGGTTTCATAAAAGAAAATTATTTGCAGCAGCGATACCCTGGTATTTATCTGATAGCTGTTTAGTAATGGCCAAATACAAACTCGTCATTCATTGTTTCATTTTGTTCTTGGATATTAATGGAAGTTGCTGATTAGATAGCTTCTCTATACCGGCATTTGGTTTCACCATGAAGATGTCATCTTGTCTGTGCTATCTGCTATTCAACGTTGTTTTCAACTTTCTTCTCTGATGTAGTTCGGGATATCTGTCTAGATATCTTCCTAAGCTGAAGTGTACAGATGATACTGTCCTGGTGAGTGAGCTGGGGCCGTGCTTAATCATCTGATTCATTCTGTATGCAACAAAGCCGGCCTCTCCTGTAACTTCCAGAAATCCGAAGTTGGGAGGAATCCTTCACATACGGCTGATCTGCTAACAGAACATTGCAGGGAAGCCATAGGGGAATTGGGCCAATTTAAATTCTCGCCTTCATCATCTCCGGCGGTGTCACGATCAACAGAGTCAAATGAAAGAGTCGCACACCCATTCAATAGTTTTGATAACCTCTTAAATATTTTGGTGTTCATATGAGTAGTCATTATCATAAAAATTCGCTTCTGGCGGGCCAGTGTTGCTCTAACGAAAGATAAAGTAACAGAGTTGAGCTTTGACAGCCAAGTTGTTGAGAAAGCATGGGAATTCGCTCATCCGCTTTATATTTGCCTTGTGGACTTGGAGAAAGTCAATGACCGGATCCCGTGCAGCAGTCTCTGGGCATAACTGCTAAATATAAAATCGATGGCCAGGTGCTACGCGCCATCCAGTCACTATATGCTGATATCATGTGTTGATTCAGAGTAAATGGCGTTAAGTGGAAAACTGTCAGCGTTAGTACTGGTCTCCGCCAAGGCTGTTTTCTGTCCCCTTTCTTGATTGTGATTTACATGGATAGAATATTCAGGCGCAGCCAGGGTAATGAGTGTATCAGACTACGAGATGTCGAAACGAGAAGGTTGCTGTTTGCAGAGGGCCTTGTTTTCTTGGCATCTTTTGAAGCAGATCCTCAGTGCTTCCTACAAAGGTTCACAGCCGCGTGCGATGTCACCGGCATGCGTGTGAGCGTATCTAAAACGAAAAGCCTATTGCTTTCTTGTTCTGCTGCCCGTTGTTCTCTTCAGATAAAGTTCTTTCTCTGTATTCAAGTCGATCTTCGTCCCCATGCATACCCATGGTCATGAGTCGTGAACGATGACTGAAAAACTTGGACCTCATGCTGAAATTGGCTTTCTGAGACGAATCACCGACTTTACGCGTTTTTGCATGGTCTGAAGAACTGAAATCCGCAAGAGATTAAGATATTACTGCTGCGCTTTCTGGGGCACATCTTACCAATGCCTCTTGGAATGAAGACGAAGCAGCTGTTACTTGTTCAACCAACCGGCCGAAGATTCCTGGGACCATGAATAATAGGTATCATCTGGCAAAGCTCAAACGTTGGCATAGGATTGGGAACGTTGGAGACACTGTCTGATATGTCTCAGCGACCCGAAAGGATTTGCGACCTCGAAACTGACTGAATGACTCGCACACTGATTTACTTACCTACCTACCTACCTACTTTCTTACCTACTTCCTTATTCTTGCTGTCTTTTTTGGACACAGGTAACTTGATGTGGGGATTAAGTAAAGGAGACTGGCTCTGTTATATAAACTTGTTGTTATAGAAACTTAGAAACTTAACCCTGTACAATTTCGGACTTAGAAATTTTCTATTTCTTGAAATTTTAACCCTGTACCATAACATACGTTGCAAGGTAATCGCGCATTTCCTACCTATAAACTGAAATATTATGATCCACTTATTCCAGCTTTATGAGCTTCTCCTGCTGGAGCCAAAACAGGGCAAAGGTCTGCTGTGAGGCGTGCGTGCAACGTGAAACAAGTTAACGACATCTTTTTTCATTTCTTCTATTACAGTAACCTAGGCTTATAGGGAATGTGTCGTACAACAAACTTTGCAGGCGAGGGACGTTCTGCTAATACACACAGCTCATAGTGATACACACAAATAGACCCATATGAGTTCGCTACCATATAGAATCTTT